TCTTTAAAATATTCGTTCATCAAAATCCGTTCAATAGTTTCGGCGTGATTGATGGACAAACATCCAAACAAAGAAACTTTCACGTTTTTAATATAAATAGGATGAGGAACTCTTACAAATTTCATTCCCTATTTTAAACCCTTTGTTTGCAATAAAAGGTAATTTATGTCCTTTGACTATTCTCAAATCTATCTCTGTACCATACTTTAAAATCGCATTGGATGGTACACCATCGACCTATAGGTGTGAAAGAACTTACTATAAAAATACTCGTTAAGGCAAAAAGTCAATATTATTGGGTATGACTTATACACTCATTATCATCCTATTAACGCCCCCACTGCTTCCCTATGGATGGTATTTAATCGCACTGCATATAGTCTAATGCGCCGTCCGAATAATCTATCATGTGGCCTTAAGCTGATGTAAACATTACAGACAATTTACGACATAATGTTTCTATAAAAAGCATAATTATTGCAATCAATTAGAATTTTAATTACTAATTTAATTATTGAAATCACTAATAAGAATCTAGTTGAGTAGATAAATGTGGCTTTTTCTGTGCTTACGCAGCATGTTCTGCGAATGATACTGCGACCATAACAATATAAGGTCAATAGAAGCCATGTTAACTACTGATACTGATGCATGCCGATTTTATAAGTTAGAGCTACATCTGATAGTAAAGCTACGAAAGTGACCTACATCGTTCACGAGAACTGTTATTATACTTATAATAGAGAAGTTTTAAGTAATATAGTAACCTTACGCCTATATAACAGTTGGGAAACGATCAAGCCACATATTTTAGTTAGGGTGTAGTCTCGGGGCTTAAATAATTAAATAGTAATTTAGAGAGAGAATTATACGGATAACAATAAAAAGTTAATTGTTTAATGTTTTTAATTTTGACATATGGAAGTCAAACTTGGGCCAAAACAAAATTGCCATCTACCAGCAGGCAATTGAGAGAAGCATGTTGGGAGTAAATAGAGGGGATAGAATAAGAAACGTCAATATAAGGAAAAATACCAAAACACAAGATGTAACTCTAAAATTAAAAAGGCAGAAATGGAAATGGTTGGGACACATGATCAGGGACAAGGACAAATGGAGTAATGTGATCACACAATGGTTTCCAAGAGAAGGCAAGAAAAATAAGGAGAAGGAAAGAAAAATAGGCAGACAACAGAAAAGATGGGATGATGCTGGTTGCCGGCATAACGTGAAGTAGAATCGCTAGAGAGAGATCGGAACGGAGTAGGTTGGAGGAGGCTTTTGCCAACTGGCAAACGGACTTACAGAAAATAAAGAAGCACCACATACGAAAATAAAATTAAATACATAAGTATACATGTAGTGTATCACAGTAAAAAAAAAATGTAATTGTAATGTTCGAATAAAAGGCTTTATTATTATGATTATTTTAGAATGAGAAGCTTTGCTCTACATAAAATGTAAAAACTTTTTTACCGCATGAGTAATAGGGTGTCGTCTTGGCAACATTTTACATGAAATGTTTTTGGTGGGATCGCCTCTTTCCGTCACCCTGTCTGTTTTTGCCGCTCAGAACCAACGATGTGATAAAAACACGTCATGAAATCCTCGTTGGGCAACTCTATTCAGGTCTAAGGTTTTGGTTCTTAGCCAGATCAATATACTGTATCCTTTAAACTGGAGTACACAATCCAATATTGTTTTAGATTTCCCTAAAGGAGAATACTATACCTACTTATAATCAAAATACAATATAAGAAGATTCTTTCATTTTACGTTTGTATTTTGATATATACGTTGTATGAAAAAATAGACTTTCATCAACAATATGTGTACGTTAACCCGTGTTAAGGCTTAAACTACTGCCGACAAACCGCTACGCAATTTAACACATAGTTTGTGAGTTGGTACTTACTAACTTAACTTGGAGATAAATAAAAATCAAAACATAAATAAAAGTCACAATTTCATCCCTTTCACCGACTGAGGGCCTTCTAATGATGTTCTTATTAATTATTTTATCGATAAAATTTTCCACATTATTTTATAGTAATATAATGCTTTAGTTTTATGGATATCTGTGTTTGTCCAAATAAAAAAAAATTGAAGTATCCAAAAAACTTTGAACTGATCTTGAACAAACTCCTTACACTGTTCAATGACTGTTGCAGTTCTACAGCAGCTTATATATTATTCCATTATCAAACATTTAAATCGATTTAATACATATAATCCTAACTGACAGACAAAGTTACCTTTGCTTTTATTATATCATATTAATAAGGATAGTAAGGATATGGAAATTTTCATTGATATGATTATCAAAGTCGGACACTACCGTCAGTTTTACCAGCAGCAATAGCGAATGAATCGAACCTGAAACGCTGTTATTGCAAACCAATAACTGTATTTATTCGAATACATCATGTGTCCTAATTCTACACTTATTTTGCACGTACTTACGTCGGACATAGTAATTATTCTTTATAATTAACGATGGATTGGTAGAGTACCACGCAATTTACAAATCGGCTAACCCACAAGTTTCGACTTAAGAAAATATGTTTTGGTAATAAAATATAGAACTAATAAATGGGAATATTTGGTAACACAAATAGTTGCCATCTAAAATAACCTTCAGAATGGACATATAGGATGGTTCGTATTAAGAATAGTGTTTTGTTCAAATAAACCATAAACTTTATTAATAGTTGTTGGTATATCGCTAATAAGCAAAAAGGTTATATACCATCTCTCTTTCTAATAAGTCTGTATGATCTTTAATAGGCCATAAAGATAAAAAATATTATAAAGTGTGCTTCGATGTCGCGCAAAATTTTTTATTATGAATTATTATCTCAAAATCCACACAGATGAAATTGAAAGCAGTATGACATACGTAATACAGAATTATTCATTATTATCTTATCCTTGAAGTCATTTACAGAGCTTAAGTAACACAAGTATATGACATTAGAGTCGCTATAGGTTAATATTTATGTTTAGGTTTAAGGACGCCCAAAATAGCGCATTCAGATTCTGACATAAATGCCTGAAATAGTAACAAGTTGTGATACTTTATCTGAATAAGGATGACATAAATCTGAATTTCTGAAATCGGTTTTTATGGCTTCATAAAATTGATAAGTAGCCAACGGTTGTTCTTCCACTTCTTAATTGTAAAAGTTTCAATATTGATTAGAAATGAATGACTTCTTGTCGATCATCTGAAAATCTATTTTGTTTTGCTAAATCACGATTATATTATTTAACGCGTAGCTATGTTTTGTCATAATAATGTTCAATGGTAAAATTCTACATAAAACCCTAATTTGCTACATAGGAATTAATTTAGTCATTCTTAGAACACGTGACTTATTTTTAGATATTATGCAAAAACTGTAATTTTCGTATATTAAATTTGAAGGTGCCGTAGGTAATGGATATTAATGACAACCTGTCCATCAGTTAATTGTGAAATTAATTCAAGGCTATTGCATTGTTGTATGCTGACTCATCGGTAATGAGGTCAACGAATCGATGATTATATGTACTAAGAAATTTTATGTCAAAAACTACATGTTCAGTATTGATTGATTGATTATTGTGATTGATTGATAGATTTGAAAACTTTTATTTAATTGGGGGTAATTTTAAAATAACATAGTCGTGTAAGTAATGTGTGCAGCGGGCAAATTTCCGCATAGCGAGTAATTTGCGATCGTAGTCGTTAAGCAACTTTCGCAAGGGTCGGTCACGGGATGGGTGACCAAAAAATTATTATCTCGAGCTACTCCGTGCTTCGGAAGGCACGTTAAGCCGTTGGTCCCGGCTGCATTTGCAGTCGTTAATACCCTCCAATCCGCATTGGGCCAGCGTGGAGGGTCATGGCCCATCCTCCTTAACCATTCATAAGGAAGGCCTGAGCCCCTGCAGTGGGGACGTAAAAGGGCTGATGATGAAGTGCCAAAACCTTTTTGTGATTCAGAATGTGACAACCAAATTTCTTAAATATGATCCATATTTCGTTTGTTGTTTTCTATTTTCCAGAGCTTTAAACAGAAAGTACCCTAAATGAATTAATAAATTTTTGTTGAGATGCATTACTTGCTATTAGGTTGTAGTCCTTCATATTATAATAAATTAATATTACTTATAGACTAGTCCTTCATAATATATACAATAACTTAATATTACTTATAGACCATAATCTCATGATACATCTATTTGAATATTATGTTTTATAATACTCGTACAAACACGCAACTTGGGAAATACGAAAAAGTCAACTTGCGAAAAATTTTGTCATTATAATGATTTACCACGTAAAAGCTGACTGATGACTTGATGATTTTGACATTGAACTATAGTTGATCCCATTCAAATGTCACATGCACATAAAGGCATGCATGCATCATAAAGAGTATAATTTATGTAATGCCTAAATTAATAAATATTTTTTGTTAAGAAAAATTTTTATGGGCATGTAATTTTAATAAGAGAATGAAATAGTCATATAACTATATATGAACTTGTTAGGAAAAGTAACAATTGCTTGATAAATTCGTCAGTCCTGTTAGGACCTGGGTACCTCTCGGTGATAAGAGCAGTCAATTGGATAGCGAAAGGTCATGAGTTCGAGTCCCAGATCAGAGTGCCAGGCACTAAGTGGATTTTTAAGCATTTTTCATTAAAAATGTTAGTCTTTACATATCGCAATTTCTTAAATATATAATGTTAATATTATATAACCCGATTTAACCAACTTAAAATGCCTTTTGAATATCGTTAAAAATCCTTGAGTATTCAATAATCGAAATTAAATTTAAGTCCGTAAATCTGGCTCTAATTGTTATTAACTGTGAAGTTCCCGTCACAACCGGTTATATTCCAATTGTTAATTAACCAATAATGTTCAATTACTTTCTAAACGTAAAATATACGACTGAATTTAACACTGAAAATACCGATCGGACGGAGCCTTTAATCCTTTTCCTTACCTCGATAGGCTGTAGAGTGTTGTCATCGGCGAGTTGCCTGCGCGCTCGCACATGTTGCGGCGCCGCCGACGCGACCGCAACCATCACCGAGAGCAAGACAGCGAGCGTGCGTGTGTATACCATCGTGCTCTAGTATAAACTGTGCCTTTGATACCCCAACCGCATAGTGTGCACGGCAGTGGGGGGAACGTGTCGCTTGCACAAACTGTTACGCGTCACACGTGCCCCGATCGGTGTATTTTTTCGCCAATTATGAAATTACTTATTGTTTTTATGTTAATATAGATTTTTAGTGTATGTACAAACAATTATTCATCCGTACCCTTTTAGACATAACGTATGACGATGTCATATACTAACGAAAATGTAATAAAAATATATTAATTTTTACAAAGGACAATTACCAAATATGATTTCATTTTTTTACAGATTGAAATTAATGTCGAAAATTTGGTTTTAATATTTTATTAAACCATAAAGCTAAAGCTTTGCCGCAAAAACTGTAGTAATTGGGAAGTATAACAAAGTGTAAATAATAAAAACTATTTGCATAACATTGACATTTTCTTGCAGTGATTCCAGTAATGAATTCATTTTTCTACTATTCCAATTCCAATTCTATAATTGATTTGAATATCCATCAATAGTTACATGACAAATTTAATGAAGAAGAAGTTATTTAGCGTTTTAAAATAATGTAGTACGACCTTTTGCAATGAAAAACAGAAGTAAAAAAGATAAATAAATGAGTTGAAATTGACTTAACTCAAAATTGCCCAACCTTAAATGTTCCAAAGATCTAAAGTTATGACGTACCATAAGACCATACTGAAAATTTAATTTTCTACAGTGAATCGAATAGCAATCAATCAAAGCTAAGACTTCATGGATGATGGTGGGTGACATTATAAGATCCGTAACCTACACAATTACGGCGGTAAAGTACGGAAGAAATAGATAATAAGTCTGCCGTTTGTTAAACTAATACATAAGCTGGCGCTTTATTATACTGTTAGGGCATAGGTATTCCCTGTGGTAAAAAACACAACATGAACGACGACGAGGAAGATATGATCATAGAAATTCGATGGCACGGTGGTTAGCGCATTCGGCTTAGCTTTATGCTTCAGATTGCACGTTTTGTTTTAGTTTGGCCATTGGTCCCGGCTGAATTTGAAGTCGCTAATATCCATTAATTTTCATAGTGTCCGGATGGGTCATGGATTCTCCTGATGAATATTTGTTATATATAAATTAATATTTCAACTTTGCTATCTATATTCAGTAATATTGTATAACGATAATATCTTTTGTATATATATATTTTTTTAAATTGCCCCGTAACATATTGGCCCGATTTGATTCCTGCATTAAGGAGAGGTCGTATGCAATGTCTACTTTTTGCACCAATTTTATTCGTAGGCTTTGCTAATATTCGTTACTAATATATGTCATCTCAACTATATACAAAAATAGGTTTTGATATAATCTAAAATGATCAAAAGAATTTTTATAAGGGTATTTGTATTTTTCTTCCAAAAATCGAGCGAGCACGCTTTTTCTCCCGATGCGCATTTGTAAGGGAAACGTAAGCGGATAAACAAGATGGTCATAATTAAAAGTCTATTTAAGGTAAAATTATCTACGTGAGTACAGAATCAACTTTTCTTTTAACCTTTAATACAATTAGGTTACCTTAAATGAATTAATAATAAGCCACACCGGCAAAGTAAAACAAGGTTCTCATTTAGCTAAATAAAATATTATCAATTTAAAATGTTTGTAAGTTAAATATTCTATACTGCAAAATATTATTAATGAAAAATGCTTACAAAATCTACTTTGTCTCTGGCTTTTCGCAAACCGAACGACTACTCTAATCACTGAGCTACTCAGAACCTAACAGGGCTGATGAATTTTTCAAGCACTTGATACTTTTTCGCTACTACAGAGCGTACTTTCATCAATGTTCAAGCAATTCACCTAAACAACCGAAAGAAATGTTTTTACAAACATTCAAACTATCGATAAATCTGAATATTTTATCAATATAGCATTCACAATGTTATACTGAAAAAATATTCTTTACTAGTAAACATAGCAAGATTGTATTTGGAACGCGTTGATGTCTTTTATGTGGAGCGCGCTGTTGAGTTAAAGGGAAGTGTGTCAGTGTGAATCTTTTTCACGGAAAATGTTTATGTTGCAAAAACATACAGACCTCCTTTTTATCTGGTGGTATTTTTATCATAAATATTTTTTTCTCATAATGTTAAAAATATTGACAAAATGTGAAATGTTAATATTCATTACATTTCTTTTTTATATTGTCAAATACAATGGATTCAACCGATATTTTTTTGAAATTTTTATTTTTCTTATTCTCTGTAACTTGTTTTTGTTCTGTTGTGTGCAATAAAGTATATTATTATTAAATGTTAAAAGCAAATTGGATTTTTCAATATTCCCATATTTTGATTTTCAAATGAATAAAGTTTATAGAACCGGTCGGTAGTTACTTGGAGGTAGCAACTGGTAATGGAGACTAAAAGGGAAATTGTCTCCCCGCTAATTGGGTGTTAGTAGCTCGGGTAGCATGGTCCAATCTATGTAAGTTGGAAATTGTACATATGGTGTTGCCTTCAACTATTATGACGATGTTAGCGCGGTGAGATAGATGTCGCCACAAGTTTACTGTAAAATTACGAAAAGAATATTGCAAATCACTGTCTCATACGTTTTGACCATCTATCACATGGCGTTAATGAACTGACTGCATGTTTTCGATGCTCTCCGCGCCTAAAAAAGAAAATTGCAACCCTTCCAAAGCCTTTGAAACGCCTATTACTAGGTTAATTATCTGTCCGTACGTCGATCACAGCTGCTATTTTCCAAAAGTACTAGTTAGAATAAATCTGGTACACATATTACTAGACTACTTATTTTGTCATTCTTTTGAAACATGTGTATTTATTTATTAATAAATATGTATGGCACGGCATATTAATCGATCAATGAATGAATTAGCCGAAATTTAATTAATGGTTATTGAAAATTAGACATTTTTAATTTAAAATTATTGACTATAAAAATTATAGTTTTATGTAAATGTATTATTATATTGAGAAATAAAAAAAAAATGGCCTAGATTGGGAATATCAAATATATGTTTATTTAATGATTGCGAAATAAAAAGGTTAGAAGATATTAAATTGACCGCCGAATCAACGCGACCTAAAATTTTGAAAAAAAAGGCATATTTGTTCTCCTATAGCTTACAAGAACATTTAAAATTCATGGCTAGGTCTTTTGCTTTAAAAAAAATGTTATTGTGGATTATCCCTAAAAGATAGGCATATTTTTTTTGTAGTTTTTTTAAGGTGTACAATGCTTAGTAAATTATATTGATAAATCTCTTAGGGTTCAACCTCCGTTTGCAATGTAAGCGGAAAAAATGTAATTATATACGACATCAATTTAGAAACCTAAAAAATAACAGTATTTCTCTACTATGTAATGGATTTTATTATACATATAAACCTTCCTATTAAATCACTCTATTTAATATAAAACATCAAAATCCGTTTGCGTAGTTTTAAAGATTTAAACATTCAAAATGGACTTTGTTTTAAACTGTGTGATACAGTAAATAATTTAAATTTTTACTTTACACGAATCATGGTTTAAACGAACAATGGGAAATATCAAGATAAAAAGGGTTGAATTCGGAGAATTATAGAAAACATATGTATATAGCGTCCTTATTCATATCCTATGATTAAGGACGCTACTCCTTTACAACTTTATTTAAAATTAACATAAAATCTTCCCATCTACAGTTTTAAATTCAGTACTAAAAAAACATATTAAACAATGAACCGCTTGTTGATTACTGTAGGCCATTATTTTTGATTACTGTAGTTAGGTATATGTAATTTCTATCTAATATAATAATGATATATTTTTTGTTAAAATGTAATATTATTTATCTGTATATAAAGTTAAACTAAAACAGTATATTGAATTAGTGCGATTAGACGCAAATGAATCGATTAAAACGTCTAAGTGCGAAAAATTTGAGACTAACCTAAACTAGTGGGGGTTTAATGCAGTTTAATCAATAGGAGATAGTTTTTGTGATTATACGCATACGAGAGTAAAATATACGCATTTTTAATACTTTAATATACGATATTAAAGTATTGAAAATGTTTATTTAAAATTAGTTTAGTTTACACAACCGTCTATGGGATTATCAACTTATTTAATAAGTTATGAACTAACTTAGTTTTAACTTAATCGATCCAGTAGTTGTTCCGTGTTGACACACACAATGGTTCCTAAAACTATTCCATTTTATTCTTCGGTACGGATTCTTTAAAGTGCCGTCTAGTGACGAGTTGTGCTGATCTAATTATCAATCACTTACATATTGTTTACGATCCGATAAAATAAGCTAACTTTAATATCTATAAATAAGTACCACCTTAAGTGCAATTTCCATAATGATTTATTGAAATTGACATATTTAAAAATAACACAGATAAAGCGCATTAACATAACCTGTAGATAATAAAAATCAAACTGTTATAGTTTACTAAACATTTTAGAAAGGATAGAGAGATTTAGCCTTCACACTAGAAGCAATTAAGCATACCGAACACTAATGTGTTAATACTCTAACGCAATATGCTAATTTTAATAGTACTATCATTTTTAATTTGGCCTATTTCGAAATTTATTCAAAAACTAACCATAAAAAGATCTATTCGGAAATTTTGTCACCGACATTACAAATCAGTGATATATCATTATAAAGTAAAAACTCGTTTGATTTATTAGACTAAAATAAATATTGCAAAACATGCTTAATTATAAATTTATTGTAAAAAGTAATTCTTATTAATAAATTCAATACTAATTTTGATTTTCAAAACTATAACGTAACAATGAAAGTGGATTATCCCATATGGAAGTAGATGAACATTTTTTTTTTGATAATATGAATGATTGATAATATGAATTCTTCATTCTGAGTAAAATACTATAATGTTCATCATCATCATTATCAGCCCTTTTACGTCCCCACTGCAGGGGCTCAGGCCTTTCTTATGGATGGTTAAGG